TTACGTTAATAATATCAAATCGGAAAATGATTTAAACTCCGTACGTAACTGATTTGGGTGGTCATGCTTGGTTCGTGGTTAGAATCCTATTAGTAAATTAAGCATCCGATCTCCGCCGATAAATCTCTTACCCGTGACGTAGGAATCTCAGAATCAACTTGAATATTATCATAATTATATTATTACATTAATCATGCAAATGATCGAAATGTCGAAATAATTAGACTTTGACAATAATGTGACTAAACACTGGAATATTGTAACAATTACGTACTCTCTCATCGTCAATTAGTGGTATATTTGTATCATACTTGTCAAATTTGGTTTAGTATTTCTAAAACCGGATAAAGCATATTGCTAATGACTTGTTATATATTTACCGCGAGAATAAATTATATTAGGCATCTCCAAAATTGGTATGTGATTATCGTTATGGCGTATGAAGAAACCAATCTCCAAAATTAGTAAGTATAACTTTATGAGAAAAACCGTGATTTGTGCAAATGTATTATCCAATCAAACTTTAAGATTTTGCTTTCGATTTATTCACTGTAAAACCATACACTTCGTACTTCCTGGTGCTACTAGAAGTTTGCTATTTATCACCTCTGGTGATCATCACCGGTGTAAGGGGGTACTATAAGTAAAATTTCAGGACCCCTGAAAACTTCACGAAAAATGAAATCAGTACCTTATATCTAATCTTTATTATAAAAAAAATCATTAAAAATAAAATTGCATCTAATCCCTAAAATTCTTAGGAGTGGTGATGATCACCACCAGTGATATGTAGTAATTTTTCTAACGCGTTATTAGTTTTTTCATTATTAACTAAAAAACTTGGAGGTCCAATACTATACTGTTAGTGACATATTTTCTTCGAAATAAGTGATTTTTAAACTACGTACTCTTTTTTTTTTATGACGTTAGAATATCATTGGGAAAATATTTTTCTCGCATGACATGTTGTGTAACCATTAACAAATTTATTCCCACGATTAAAGTTCTTTAAGAGACTTTATTTACATCGTACACTTTCATTTACGTAAGATGATAGCAAAATTCTTTGAAACACTTTCAAACAATTATCTTGACATCCTTGATGATACAGAAGACTTTAATGTGATCATTAATGTCGATGAACCTTTAAACTCAAAAATATACAAAGCACATTCAGTTGTTTTAAAATATAGATCTTTATATTTTCGCAATGAATTAACGAAAGCTGGCACAAATTATAATAATTTTAAAACAATTAACTTAAAGAATGTTTCTGTCCAACAATTTGATATTATTATAAAGTAAGTTGTTTATTATTGCAATGAATAATCTATATGTATTACGCTTCAAGAAACATTCTAAATTTAAATTTTGTACAAAGATATATTTATGGAGGAATTATTTTACTTGAACAATGTGATGCAACATTTATTTTTGAGCTTATGCTTGTTACTTACGAACTTCTTCTTGATGAATTGGCAAAATACCTTGAAACTTACTTAATTGAAGTAGAAGTTCATTGGCTTCGTTTACACTTTAATCGTATTTACAACAAAAGTTTTCAGAATGATAAACTTCAAAAATTACAAGAATGGTGCAATGATATTCTAGTAAAGTATCCTAGTAAGGTTTTTGATTCAAAAGATTTTATCTCGCTTCAACAAAATGCTTTAGTTTCGCTTATTAAACGAGATGATTTACAAATGAAAGAAGTAAAAATTTGGAATCATATTATCGAATGGGGAATTGCTCAAAATCCTGGATTACCATCCGATTCTAAAACTTGGTCTCATGAGAATTTTCTAGCTTTAAAGACTACTTTACGAAATTGTTTACCTTTTGTCCGCTATTTTCAAATGTCAGCCGACGAAATTATCGACAACGTACGACCATATCAGCAAATCCTGGATAAGGATCTTTGGGATGATATATCAACAAAGTTTATGTCACCAAATCGACCAATAAAATCTACAATCCTTCCGCCTCGTCAAATTTTAACACAACAAATACCACCAAGAGTGACTCCTCATGTGATTTTAGAAGAAGCGTCACCACCTAAAGCTAAAGAATCGACACCTCGTCAAATTTTACCACAAAAAATACCACCAAGAGTGACACCTCAAGTAATTTTAGAAGAAACGTCACCACCTAAAGCTAAAGAATCGACACCTCGTCAAATTTTACCACAAAAAATACCACCAAGGGTGACTCCTCAAGTAATTTTAGAAGAAACGTCACCACCTAAAGCTAAAGAATCGACACCTCGTCAAATTTTACCACAAAAAATGCCACCAAGAGTGATTCCTCAAGTAATTTTAGAAGAAACGTCAACACCTAAAGCTAAAGAATTTTTTTCAGCCATTATTAATGAAGCACAGGCAGCTGGAATTTCTTCATGGGTCGATGAAAAAGCCGACTTTTATTCTGTAGCAAGTAATCCATACGAGTTTAAGTTACTTCTCCGTGGAACTAGAGATGGCTTCAAACCTAAGTCATTTTGGAATTTATGCAGTGGAGAAAAAAATGTTGTTGTAGTTATGAAAGTTGAAGGTACTGGTGAAATTCTTGGTGGATATAATCCTATTGGTTGGAAAAAGCCAACTGAAAAAAGAAAAAAATGTTATGTGGAATGCGACAAGAGCTTTATTTTTTCATTAAAGAATGGTATTAAAAATTCTATATGCAGTCGTGTAAACAAACCAACAAGTGCAATTTCGTGTAGAGCTAGCGGTGGTCCAGTTTTCAATAAGGATCTTGGCATGTTTGGTCATTTCAATAAGGGTAAAAACTGTATGTGTGTAAAAGAATCTTATGAAATTTCACTTAGAAACAGGAAAGGATTTTCTGTTGAGGAATATGAAATATTTCAAATCATAAAAAAATAGTCCTAAAAATGATAGAATGATTCAATTGCTGTATTTTATTTGCGAGTTTTTAAATTGTATTCGATTCATTTGTTCTTTTGCTTCATTAATTCTTTATTTATTAATCAAATAAAGTATATATGTATATATTAAGGAGGTAATTATTTTTAAAATTTTAAATACATATTATGAGATGAATTAAGCCTGTTATGTTAATATTGATTTTTTAAATAAGTAACTATATACGTGTTATGCTGTAGATGAGAAATTAGTTCTTCTAACACTCGAATTATTTATGCCTAAATCATGTGATGAATAATTGTTAACAATATCTGATAATCAATTATTCATTTTTTTATATATGTTTTGTACTTTATTTCTTTATTATACTATTAAACTATCATCTATTTATCACTATGAATATTTAAAATTAATATCTATATTTATTTGATATAATATAAAAATTTAATATGTTTAAATTGAAACAACCAAATCATGTATACCTTTCTTATATGAATAAAAAAATTTAGTCTTCGCAATAATAAATTTAATATCTATAACCTCTAACTCTAACTAACTGTGTGATAATTATAATAATACATATATAACACTATTTTAACTATAAAGTTAAATAGTTAACTTTTTTTTTTATTCTCTCTTAAAATTTATATAATATTACTAAAACTATATTTCAAAATTTATACACCTATAAAAACATTATCGAAATACCAATACACTGAAATCAATTAATTAATTAAGTTAAGATTCTAAATACACTATTTATCAGCGATAGGGTTCTGGATTATAGTTGTTAGACAAAACCATTTTTGCTTGATGATGAAAGTCGAAACCTGAGCCCTAAATGACGAAACCTCTGCCG